AAAGTGCTTTTTGTTAAATCTTGACCACTACTGGACATCTCAAGTTGCTATTACACCTGATCCAGCTGACAAAAATTTAGTGATGGTTGAATGGACCTAGAGATTATCATACTAAGTAAAGTAAGCCAGACAAAGACAAATATCATATAATATTGCTTATATGTAGAATATAAAAAATAAATGATACAAATAAACTTACATACGAAACAGAAATAGATCCACAGACATAGACAACAAACATGGTTACAAAGGAGAAAGGTGGGGGGGACAAATGAGGAGTTTGGGATTAACATATACACATTACTATATACAAAATAGATAACCTACAAGGACCTACTGTATAGCACAGGGAATTATACTCAATATTTTATAATAACCTCTAAGGCAAAATAATCTGCAAAAAATAGATATATATGTATGTATGACTGAATCACTTTGCTGTTTTCCAGAAACTAACATTGTAAATCAACTATACTTCAATTAAAAAAAGAAATTTAGTGATGGTTGATGCTCTATTGAGTGATAATCATAATCAGCTTTTAAAATAAAGCTGTGCTTATCAAGTGCATTTTCTCCTGTACACATTCTCTTCTATTTCTTTCCTAATCAGCGGGCAGAGTAGTGAGTTAAGATAAGCTCTGGTGTCTTTGTCCTCTAATAAGTTTCTTCCTCTTTCTGTTACCTGTGTTTAGAGATGTGGCTGCCTTGACTTCTGACTCTAGTCTTGTTCCCTCTACTCTGTCATTAGTCTTAATGATCAGAAATTCCTAATAGTTGTGTTCAAGAGGACAGCTGCTCTATACGCAGCAGCAATACATGAAGGCAGAATGAAGGTAACAGCTTTACTGTACACAAGTCAGAAAAGGAAAAGAGAAGTAGTAAACTTGGAGATGGGTAAAAGAAGGAGTTAGGATTTTTCAGAGACTGCACTGAGGCAATATTCTTTTGGGTTAGAAATCTCTTCTTGTGTTGACCCCACCCTTTGTCCTTGTTGTGTTCATTCTGAATGCACAGGTCAAAAACAGACAAAGCTGAAACACAAAAGCACATAGGTATTGAGAAATACCCAAATCATTTGATCTTATTTCTTCCAATTATACCAATACAGCTACAGCCTCAGTGTCTACTTGAATAACTCTTCACTGTGGTGACTTATCTGCCACCATACTCTACTGTGCTAATGCTGTATGATACAGAAGAGAGCTGACTAAAATTTGAGGATGCTCTCCTAGTTGGATCATCCCCTTGATATTAACACACTTTACTTCTCTTGTATGCTATATCTTGGCCCTCTTTTTCATTAGAGTCAATCAGCTCTATCAATCTAGAAAATTAGATATAATAGGAGAAATGTTCATTTATTGGCAGTAAGAGAATTTATTCACTCTTAGAGGTTAATAAGAACGTATGAAAACGACATGACTAATGTATACTATAGAAAATTCTGAGCCCATAACATTCAGACTGGTGAACATTTCTCCCTACCTTACTATATATAATTTAGTTTGGAGAGTGATTTTGTTGATATAATTTTGGCCTCTTGGGGGTCATTTTTAAAATAAGGGGATAAAAATCCATGTCTCCATTAAAATAGAAATTGCTTTTCAGCATGATTTTTCCCCTTCCAGAATTGATTTTTTAAAAATGTTTCTATCATCAAATCTGGCATCAATTTGCCAACCTACTCACATGCCTGCCAATATATTTCTGTGCTTTCTTTTAATTCTAATGTTTGTCTAGTTGTCATGAGATAAGGCCCACTTATGGTGACAGATTGTGTTCTGTCTGTGTGGTATAGAAAATGAAAAGACTATCATTTTAATATTTCCCACTTGATCTATTTTAAACTTTCTCAATATAAATTCTCAAACAAGGGCAAAAGGAGCACAGCATAGGCAATGCTCTTAATTGAAATATATAATTTAGGGAAATAAACACATTCTAGAGTTGTCTTTTTTCACTGCAATGGTAAAGAGGTGCTCTCAATATGTTGACTAGCCTTAAATATTAAGTCATTACTTTTTCAATAATTTACCAAGATAGATATAATTAATATTTTCACATCTTCACTTGTCTTGCTGAGGATTTTGCATTGCTCAGTAATAAGTGGTAAAACATCTAACTAAAATCTACTGTTTTCTTGACAGTAAATTCTAATGGAGGGAATATAAAAAGATCTATCGTGGTTCTATAAAATAAAGAATGGTATTTTTTAATGGTATTTTATTATATTCTTAAATATGGGTAAAGTTTTGAGGGTTTTTTGTCCATGATATTATTTCTGTTGGAAAGTTAAAATTTTTAACCTGTTATTTAAGAATTATCATTCATAATAAAGAGAGATGTAAATACCAATTGTTTAAAGACATTAAAATCCAAGGACACTTTCTTGAAAGAGATTATTCAAGGCATTATCCTCAGGCTATGCCTTCACAGACAAATAGAATTCTAACACTGAGCCACTGATGGATGAATTTGATCAACACATAAAGACAATAAGAATATCTTAGGCTAAAAATAACTACCCAAAGTGGAAAGAAAAAAACACATTTTGATTTCCTTAGATAATAGATTTGTGACCATGTCTGGATACCTTCCTCAAAAGTCAATTTTGGAAACTCAAGTTATATTAAAATGACAGGAAAAAAACTATACCCTTTTTGGTCTGAGAATAAGTCATTGGATAACAAAATACAGAGCCTTTGTTTTGTTTCAAGGCAAATTATGCTCAGAGACTGAGATTATCTTTGCCAATATTTTATTTAACAAAGGTCTACTGTGGGAATTATAATTTCACAAGCCAATAGCATACAAGATAATGTCCTTTAATAAGCCAATAAAGAAATAACATACTCCAAACCAATGATTGATTAATTACACTATTGTTCCAGGCAAAGAGCACGATGAAAGGAATAAAGTCCAAATTTAATTGTGGTGTACCTTTCTGTTGCAGGAAGGGGGACCCCTTCCAGGGCCTAGAGTGGCCTTTTGTCTAACACTTGCAAATGAATTGTCCAAGGAGACACATGTACTGACAAAGCAAAAGACTGTATTGGAAATGGGCACCGAGGCAGAGAGCAACAGGGTAAAGGAACCCAGAAGAACTGCTCTGCTACGTGGCCTGCGGTTTCAGGTTTTATGGTAATGGGATTAGTTTCCAGGTTATCTCTGGGCAATCATCTTGCATGGCCCATATTTGATCTAACTAAGGGTCTTCCCTGGTGGCGTTCACATCTCTCAGCCAAGATGGATTCCAGCATGAGGGTTTCTGGGAGGTGGGCAGGACATGTAATCTCCTCCCTCCTTCTTTTAGCCCCTCCCAAATTCTTCCAGGTTAGTTTTACAAGACATACTATGGGTTGGCATGTCCTCCCTCCTTTGGCCCCTCCCAAATATTCCTGGTTAGTTTTTGGTGGCAGCACCACATTCTTCATCGAGACCTCCTGTTGCAAGACAACTCAGGCAAGAGGTTATCATCATGCCTGGTCAAGGTTTCAGTCAATGACTCCCTAACATTTCTATGAGCTGGTTCTCGAGAGAGAGAGGTTAGTCAACTGAGAGCTGACGCCCAGCTGCTAGCGCAAAGATGAAAGTCTTTTGTTGTAGAGCATGTCTCCAAGAAATGAAGGCCCTGAGGCTGGCAAGCATGATAATTTCCTTCCCTGGGGCTGCTTCATGGTTTTCACCACTGCTGAGCAGAGATCCACCTTCCTAGGCAGGAGCCAATACCCCAAAGTCTTCAGAGAGCTATTAGATCAGCAAAGAGTCACCTTGCCCAGACCAAACACTCTCAGATGGTTCTCACACACTCTGGGTATTTATACTCTAATGTCCCCTTGCCATAGTTGCTTCTTCATATGTTCTTATTGATAAGACCCTGGTGGTGCCCCTCAGCAGTTGAGCTACTATTGAGTGCTTGTCAGCAACCGCAGATGTTGATGATGACATCCTGACACAACAACTTCAATACTTTTATTGAAACAACTTTACTTATAAAAACAACAGTATTCTTAGATCAAAACAATTTTTGTCATGAACAAATAGATCTGAAATTTTATCAAACCACTAAACAACAGCATTCATCCTCTTACTACATTTATTGTATCTCTCTTTGTATATACCCTTATTTCAAATTCACCTCTATCTCCTCCCCAATTTTCTCTGATGCTCAGAGAAACTTTTGCACAACTGTAGCAATGACAGGGAACTGAGGTAAATTTTGAGGAGAAAGGACTTGGGAGCATCGTTAGCTAGAAATGTTAGACATGTGATCCTTTTATCATGTGATGTATTCAACCTCTACAAAGGAGAATGAATCCAAGTAACAAATGGCCTAAATGCTTCTGGAGTTTTCAAAATCAATTTACCCCATTTCCTGAGGTTGAATGGGGGAAAAAAGAAGTCTTAAATAAAAATGAGCAAAATGATTTTACCAGGATGGCTGCAAAAATTATTTAGTTGAACAGAATTGAATTAAGGTGCTCCTAAGACCCACAAAAATTAATATTTAGAGAGAATATCCAAAGCTGTATAGATATTTATGTTTACTCCTAATTCAGGAATCTCTAACTAAACTAGTTTTTTTGTTTTTTTCTTTTTTTAAGAAATGTGTTCATGCTTGAGATAAAGACTCATCCATTTTAAAATGGATGGAAAATAAACAAGGGAATATCTAATTGGAAATATGTCTTTTCTTGGCCAATGCCTATGTGAGCTAAGGATTTAATGACTTTTTGATGACCATTGAAGATTTTTATATGGCTCTACATATTGCTGTATGAGATTTACAATGTTATATCCCTTTCCTGAAACCACTGAAGAATGCAACAGATGAAAATAGTTTCATTAGAAAAACAAAATTGTGTATTATTGCACTTGGAATTTTGGCATGTTTTTTAAAAAATATATTTGCAATAACAAATTGGAGCTTATTTTTGTTTTTGTTTTTGTTTTGTTTTGTTTTCCTTTGCTTCCTTTGCCTCCACTTTATCCTAAATCAGCGGAAATCCGAGGGAAAAAAGGCAGGAAAGGTAAGATTGTAAATTTCAAAGAAAATTGATTTCAAAATATGTTGTGATTTTTTTCTTACATTTCTGAAGCCACAGGAGCTACTAAGTGGAGTTAAAACTGTAAGTATTTAGGATGACATATGTTGTAGTTCTGCCTTAAAAGAGCTTCAAGCTGAGCTGTCTCTACATTTTGTATCACTTACACAGTCCTGGAAGCAATTTTCAAGTCTTATTTTATTTTTCATCAACACTTTCTTTTCCCACTGTGCCAAAACAACATACTGCTGACAGCATCACTTCGTGAATATTCTGGTAATACAGTTATTTTATGATAAATTTTAGCAATAAAAGAGACCATTTTGGTGTCAATTCACAATTTAACAGTGACAGCAAAAGTTAGTGAATATGAAGCATGATGATGTCTGATAAGGTCACAGAGAAAAATAGCATAAACTAAACATGGTTAATCAGTAAATTGATGTTCTCTGAGAAACTGGGCTCTAGAATGTCATCTTTCAATGCAAAAATTTTTTCTAATTGAAATATAGTTGATGTACAATATTATGTTAGTTTCAGGTGTATTACATAGTGATTTGACATTTGCATACATTATGAAATGATTACCACCATGATAAGTCTAGTAACCATCTGTGACCATATAAAGTTATCACAATATTATCGACCATATCCTTTATGCTGTATATTACATCTGCATGACTTATTTATTTTAAAACTGGAGGTTTCTACCTCTTAATCCCCTTCATCTTTTTCAACCACTTTCCTCCCCTCTGCCAACTGCCTTTTTGTTCTCTGAAGTCTGTTTTTGTTTTTTAGATTATGCATGTGAGATCATACAGTTGTTGTCTTTCTCTGTCTGATTTATTTAACTTAGCAAAATATCCTCTTGATTCATCCATGTTGTCACAAATGGCATGAGCTTTCTTTTAATGGCTGAGTAATATTCTATTATTATTTCATAATATTTGATGGACTCTTATTTGGCTTCCATATCTTGGCTATTGTAAATAATGCTGCAATGAGCATTGGGATGTATATATCTTTATGAAATAGTGTTTTAGTGTTTTTGTGCTGGATCATATGGCAGTTCTATCTTTAATTTTGTGAGGAAACTCCATACTGTTTTCCACAGTGGCTGTACCAATTACATTCCCACTAACAGTGCACAAGTGTTCCCTTTTCTGTACATCCTCACCAACACTCATTATTTGTTGTCTCTTAATGATAGCCATTCTGACAGGGGTGAGGTGGTATCTCATTGTGGTTTTGATTTGAAGTTCCCTGATGATTAGTGATATTGAGCATCTTTTCATGTGTCTTTTGACCATCTGTATGTCTTCTATGAAAAAATGTCTATTCTGTTCCTCTGTCCATTTTTTAATCAGGCTGTTTGTTTTCTTGACAGTTGTATTAGTTCTTTGTGTATTTTGGATATTAACCCCTTATCAGTTATATCATTTGCAAATTTATTCTCCCATTCTGTAGGTTGCCTTTTTTGTTTTGTTGATGGTTTCCTTTGTTATGCAAAAACTTTTGAGTTTGATGTAGTCCCATTTGTTTATTTTTGCTTTTGTTTCCCTTGCCTGAGGAAATAGACCCCCCAAAATATTGCTAAGACCTATGTCAAAGACCATACTGCCAATGTTTTCTTCTAGGATTTTTATTGTTTCAGGTCTTACATTTAAGCCTTTAATCCATTTTGAGTTTATTTTTGTATACGGTGTGAAAAAGTAGCCCAGTTTGATTCTTTTACATGTAGCTGTCCAGTTTTCCCAACACCATTTATTGAAGATAATTTTTCACATTGTATATTTTTGCCTCCTTCAATGTGAAAGTTTTAAGTTCTGCTCACATATATATGAACAGTCTAGCTGTCTAGAAAAATTTGGTTTTCTACCATTAAAAAAATAAACTATGTCACACATATTGTTAAATTTTAATTACCTTGTTGGTTAAACTGCACCACCACTAAAAATAAACAGTTATTCAGCTGTTCACTGACATTTGTTTTCTAGAATTTATGCCTTGGTTTCTTCACCATGTTTTGAGGTTTGGAACCAAAATGTTGTCATAACTATATGCTAGGTTAAATATGAGTGTTTTTCTAGTTTGAGAGACCAAATTTTGTCTTTGAAAAAGAACTTGCCAAAGGGTGGTCTAGACTATGCCAGAAGTACTATGTTAGCCCTGGATGGCTTTATCAAGTGTGAGAATTACCTGAAAATGGAGCCTGACTAGAATGTCAAAATGAATTTTCATTAGTGTTTGAGAGATAAACTAAAATAACAGCATTAGAGAATTTTCACTCAATATACCTTTCTGAGTTTTCAAATGCCTGTCTGAACCATCTTATCACTGTGACCTTGGAGTGATGACTTTTTGAGAATTAACTCCTCCAAGAAGGCAAAAGTTTATAGAAGATTTCTCCAATTAAAAGGAGGGAAGCAAGGGGAATAAAATGTCACTAGCTATGTAACATGAAAGAGAGAGGAAGAGAGAGAAAGAGAGAGAGAGAGAGAAGCTCTACAGATTTTAGGTGTTCTAACATTCTCAACCATTCTGGTAAATTTAGAAAAGGACCTGTTGCTCAGTTATTTAAAAGTTGGAATTTTGAAGAACAGAAATATTGGCAGAGTAGATTAGACCCATGGAGGTGAACGAAGTTTGGCAATGCATGAGAGTACTGATTCAAATATTTTGTCTGTTTCTATGACAAAATATATGGATTTAAGAGTGCAGTGTAAGTCCTCGGTAGTAGTGACTTAGAGTCTTCTCTGTTCTACCAAGCAACATTTATATTGGAAGGTTAAGAAGTTTTTTTCTGAACACATATTTCTTCAGTAGAGTTAGCAACGGTTGCTGAATCAGATATTGAGACATTTATAAATAAGAATTGAGATTTTAAAGTCTCATATCTTGTGATGATTACATTAGAAACATTATCTTTGGCATACTTCCTCGTATTCCTTTACTTCTCACACATTTGCTCCTCATGCATTTAATTTTTAAAGTAGGCAAGTATCCTACTTAACTCCGAGGGGACTCACAGGGAAGCCTCTGAGAATTAATCATCAGTTGTTATTTTACCAAAAAATTATGAATATGTTAGTCAATTTCCTAGCCCATTTATTGAGGATACCTGTGAAACTAGTCTTCCTCATTTAGTTGAATTATTTCTTAATTGCTTAAAAGAAGTTTATAGGATTAACTTTTATGCTTTAGAGACACTAAAGCATAAATTTTACAGTCTAATGTTGAGATATAAAGAATTAATATTTCAAGATGTCTTATAAGTTCCTTTAGTCTATGCCTAACACACTACTTGAAACCTAGTAAATATTTAATGAAAATTTGTCCTTTGTTTAACAAACATATATGGAATGCCTTCTATGTATCAGACTCTGTACTTGGTAATGAAAATATCTAAAGGAATGAGATAGTTTCTTTGACCTCAAGGACCCCCTTGTATAGTAAGGAAAATAGATATGTAAACCAAAAATTCAACCTTATATAACAAGCTTAGTTTACTATAATAACCTATTTAGAATATTTTTCTTGAATAAAAATAAATTCCACTCACTTGTACTTAGGTTTTCTGTCAGGCTTACTCATTTAGAGGTAAGAGCTTCCATAAATTCACTAACCTTTCTTTAAAATATAATGGCTTCTTGTTTATGTTTTTGAGCACCTATATTTTGGTCTCTTTTTAGCTTATATCAGACACATATGCCAGTGTATTTTTATTCTGTTTAAATTTCATACCCCTTCCCATTATATTTGCCTCCTCTTGGCCTACAGTATTTATCAGGTACCCTTTAACAGCTGGTATTATTATTTATGAATGAGAGCTAATGTTATCCAAATATACTTTAAACATTGATTTAAGAGTTGGGTTTTCTCTTGAAGTGCATAATGCTTCAAACAGTGTATCTCTTTACTTACATGACAGATTATCCTCCTTATTTTCTTGAAAGCAAGATGTGTAGTGGAGCAAATCTCAAATACTGACCTTCAGTCTTTTCCACAGTAAGCAGTTGTGAATGCAGTGCTGTAAATCTCTAGCATTGAAGAACTGTCTCTGAGATCTGTTTCATATTCTGTTATAAAGGTGATTGCTGGGAATTGTTTGTTGTGTAACTCCGGAACAGGCTGTGTATCATTTTTATTGATGAGAAGATACCATCTCTGTAATGCCTATGTAAAGTTGTCTGGGTGTTAAATTGATTTAAAACATTATGCTTTGGAGCCATAAAAATTGCAGTGAGTATTGCAAAACAGGAAATCCCATTACAAGACTGAGCAAAGAAGCCACCTGCAGCAGGAAAAAAAAAAAAATCACACTTCATGGCAGAAACCAATGCATTTAAACTTAGTAAACAAAAGTTGCTAGTGGGTAAGGTTTTTGGGTTTTTTTGGGCTTTGTGAAACAAATAGATAGCAAATGCTCAATTAGTCCATTTGCTTCTCCCAATGTCCTTATGATCGTCAGTCAGCTAATGTGGCTCACTGCACAGTGATTCTTGAGTAGGGAGGGAGTTTTTCTAGTGCTTCTCAACTCTGGTTGTGTGTTAGAATCACCTAGGGACTTTTGAAAACTGGCAATGTCCATTTTGCATTCCAAGCAATTACATCAACATCTCTGGGGTGGGACCCAGGCATTGGTAGTTTCTTAAGCTCCCTACATGTTTCAAATACAGAGCCAACTTTGAGAACTAGTTTATTCAATTCTTACTGCCTTTAATTTAGATTTAGCAAATTTTATTTGTTTCTGTGGCAAATCCTTTATATAAAATCCTAAGTTTCATTGAGGAAAAAAAATTGGATTGATCGGTCTTTTCATGAATGTTATTAAAATTGTGCCCTAATTTTATTGATGTAAAATATAGTTTGCATGCCAATATAGGACCAGTACCCACAGAAAAGACAAGCAATGACCAGTAACATATTTGCCAATGAGGTTAATCAATCCTACTGAATATATGCATGTGTGATTGTAACGATAT